ATTCACCACCTATTAGGCTCAGTTCAAGCCACACATGTGCGAACGAGCACGGGTGCATTCCTGAATGTTGCGTGTAAAGCACAACCCCAAAGACCTATTATTACTGAAGGTCAAAAAACACTTCCTGAGGTCCAAATGGTGAGACCAGCCATTGAAGACCATCCAGGATACAACTCTAAACCCGGAGGATATTGATGGAACATAGACTAGGCATGTTAGTCAGGGTGGAGGAAGAACATTGCTTGATTCCCCCATTAACCCAGTCAGGAATCCCTCCTACAGAGCAATAGTGTTCTGCCGGTGAGGAGCATTCCCTGCCAGGAGAACACAATGATCAATGTTACCGGATATAGCTGGTGGCATCAATCACTTGGGGAAAACCCAACAGGCTGGCTCGTACATAGAGCAAAGTTAAGCTGTTCCTGGTAGAACCGGACGAATTTCGATCCATGTATGGATGACTTTAGGATCCTAGTCCAATCCCACCAAAGGGAGCCCACGAGAACGCTGTTACTGTATTGGACCAATCATAACCGGCCGAAGCATTTGCCACATAAAGAAAAGAAGTGGAAACTCAACTTAATGTGGCAAAATCATATGTGCAGTCCACGTTTAGAGAAGAGGTCCCCGTAATGTTTCTTCACACAGAACCTGCAGCCAGCAACAATAGCCCCACTCCAGCAACAGAAGATCCTTCCAAGCAACAATGGAACCCCACAACAGAATACCACATCAGCAACAACCGATCTTCCCTCAACAGTAGATCACTTCTAGCAACAACTGACCTCCCAGCAACAATAGATCTCTCTTCGGCAACAATAGACCACCAAGCAAACACATATCCCCTCCGGTGACAATAGATCCCCCTGCAGCCAACAACAATAGCCGCACTCAAGCAACATTAGATTCCCCCCCAAGAAACAATGGACCACCGCAACAAAATACCACCCCAGCAACAACATGCCCCAGGAGCAACAACTGATCCTCCCTCAACAGTAAATTGCTTCTAGAAACAATTGACCTCCCGGCAACAATAGATCACTCTCCAACAACAATAAACTGCCAAGCAAAAATAGATCCCCTCCAGTGACAATGCATCCCCTGATGCCAACAATAGCCCCATTCCAGCAACGATAGAGCCCCCCAGCAACAATGACCCCCCACAACAAAACACCACCACAGCAACAACACACCCCAGCAGCAACAACTGATCTTCCCTCAACAGTAGATCACTTCTAGCAACAACTGACCTCCCAGCAACAATAGATCTCTCTCCGGCAACAATAGACCACCAAGCAATCACATATCCCCTCCGGTGACAATAGATCCCCCTGCAGCCAACAACAATAGCTGCACTCAAGCAACATTAGATTCCCCCCAAGAAACAATGGACCACCGCAACAAAATACCACCCCAGCAAAAACATGCCCCAAGAGCAACAACTGATCCTCCCTCAACAGTAAATTGCTTCTAGAAACAATTGACCTCCCGGCAACAATAGATCACTCTCCAACAACAATAAACTGCCAAAAATAGATCCCCTCCAGTGACAATGGATCCCCTGATGCCAACAATAGCCCCACTCCAGCAACGATAGAGCCCCCCAGCAACAAAGACTCCCCACAACAAAATACCACCACAGCAACAACACACCCCAGCAGCAACAACTGATCTTCCCTCAACAGTAGATTGCTTCCAGCAACAATTGATCTCCCAGCAACAATAGACCACCAAGCAAAACACAAGATCCCTTCCAGTGACAATAGATCCCCCTGCAGCCAGCATCAATAGACCCCCCCAGCACACCCCAGCACCACAGTACATTACATACATTCAGTGCTGGTGGTGCCGGAACTACGTTCTCCCGCATTCCAGCTGAAAAAAGCCCCGAGTGTAACCATACAGGTTATGGAAAGAATCGAAAAGTCCTCCAAACAGAGAACTTTATGATAACCAAAACGCATGAAACAGCTGAGCACAGTTTGTAATAAATGGCTCTACATTAGGCTACGTTTGTACTATACGCCAGCGGTTCTGGATGTGCATTTGGCTGTTGGGTCATGATTTGCATGGCTCCGCCCACTTAAAATGAGGCCTAATCCTCTTCTTTTTGGGATATGTGATGGAAAAAGACTTGTGAATGCCTTCTGTTCTAAGAAGGATTTACTATGTTATAATAAAAACCATAATACTACATCGAGCAAAATGACCTCCAGATGAGAGGCCTAGAAATGTCGCTCTTACAGAGTTATAGAAATATTGATATTTTCCTTTCTGTGGCTCCGTACACTGAGACATTCCAGAGATGCTCGGGGTTGTATGGAGCACTGTTCAACTTCCTCACAAAATCCTTCCCAAATGATGTTCATCTTGACTTAATCCCCCGAGCCGCGTGTGAATTAGGGGCTGTTTGTTTTTCGGAGCGCCGGTTCTGCAGGGTACGGCGGGGCCTTATTTTTCTTAGATGGCTCAGCTGGGACATCCAGAGAAGGAGGCAAAGGATGGGGGTGATGGAGCGCAGGGGTGAGCAGACCCCAGGTGTCCCCAGGTACTCAGGACCATGACTAACCCTAGGTAAATAAACACAGCTGAGCCAAGAGGAAACTGAGGAGAGCTTCTCATTAGAGGAGCAAAATAAACACAAACTGCTTAAGCACTTTGCTCTGTCAGATTCACTGCAGATAAGAAGGGAAGAAGAGAGAGAGAGGGGGGGGGGAGAGAGAAAGAAGGAGAGAGAGGAAGAGAGGGATGGAAGGAGAGAGAGAAGGAGAGAGAGAGAGAGAGAGAGGAGAGAGAGAGAGAGGGAGGGGGGAGAGAGGGGGGGGGAGAGAAAGAAGAGAGAGAGGAGAGAGGGATGGAAGGAGAGAGAGCGAGAAGGAGAGAGAGAGAAGGAGAGAGAGAGAGAGAGAGAAGAGAGAGAGAGAGGAGAGAGAGGGGGGAAGAGAGAGATAGAGAAGGAGAACGCGGGAGAGGGGAGAGAGAGAAGGAGAGAGAGAGTGGGGAAGGAGAAGGAGAGAGGGGGGGGAGAGGGAGAGAGGAAAGGAGGGAGAGAGGAGGAGAGAGAGGAGAAGAGGAGGAAAGAGAGAGGGGAGAGGGAGAGAGGGGAGAGGGAGAGAGGGGAGAGGGAGAGAGGAGAGAGAGAAGGGGAGAGGGGGGAGGGGGAAGGAGAGAGAGGGGGGGGGGAGAGAAGGGGGGGGGAGAAGGGAAGAGAGAGAAAGGGGGAAGCAAGAGAGGGGGGGGGGGGGGAGAGAGAGAATGGTGAGGGGAGAGAGAGAAGAAAGAGAGAGAGTGGTAGAGAGAAAGGAGGAGAGAGAGGGGGGGAGACCTGAGAGAGAGACAGAGAGGGGGGAAAGAGAGAGGAGGAGAGAAAAGAGAGAGGAGAGAGGGGAGGGGGGAGAGAGAGAGAGAAGGAGGGAGGGGTGGGAGGGGGGAGAGAGGGGGGAATGTGGGGGGGAGAGAGGGGGGGGGAGAGAGAAAGAGATGGAGGGAGAGAGAAAGAGATGGAGGGAGAGAGAGAGGGGGGTGGGGGGGAATCGTGGGGGGGGGGGGAGAAGGGGAGAAAGTGGGAGAGAGAGAGGGGAAAGATAGAGAAGGAGAGAAAGAGAGGGGGGGGAGAGAGGGGGGGGAGAGGGAGAGAGGGAGGGAGAGGGGAGAAGAAGAGGGGGGGGAGAAGGGGGGAGAGAGGGAGAGAGAGAGAATGGGAGAGAGATGAGAAGAAGAGAGGGAGAGAGGGAAGGAGAGAGAGAGGAGGGGAGGGAGAGAGAGAGAGAGAAGGAGGGGGGAGGAGGGAGAAAGAAGGGTGAGGGGAGAGAGAGAAAAAAAGAGAGAGAGGGAAGGAGAGAGAGAGAGACCCGAGAGAGAAAGACTAAGAGGGGGGGAGGGGGGAGAGAGAGAGAGAGGAGAGAGAGAAGGAGGGAGAGAGAGAGGGGGGGAGGATAGGTGGAGGGAGAGAGAGAGAGAGAGGAGAGAGGGAGGGGCAGTAGGGGAAAGGGAGAGAGAGAGAAAGATAGAGAAGGATAGAAAGAGATGGAGGGAGAGTGGGGGAGAGAGGGGATGGAGAGAGAGAGAGAAGGAGAGAAAGAGAGAAGGAGAGAAAGAGAAAGCAAAAGAGAAGGAAAGAAAGAGAGAAAGCAGTGTTGGCAGCAGATGGTAATATCCAGGGACGGACTGACCATTTGGAAACTCGGGCACTGCCCGAGGGCCCAGGGTCAGTAGGGGGCCCCATGAGATGCCCCTGGTACCTTTTTCATAGGCTTTTTGAGTTTGGGCAAGGACACAGGGGCCCCATGATCCCCTGTTGCCCGGGGGCCCCATGAGTTGTCAGTCCACCCCTGGTACTATCCCTGCTAGGAATCACAGTGAGGGGTAACAATCACTAATGAACTGTCACTGGTGAGTGTACGCAGCCCCTGGCACAGTGATGGGCCCCGTCCACACATCTTCTGGCACCTCCTGTTTCTGCGTTCACTGTGACTCATTTGGCTCAATTAGTTGTATTCTATGGGAGACATTTGCAGCCTTTACAGTTATGCGCAGTGAGATGCGTAATGCGTGTTATAATTGATGGTTTGTGATGATAAGGCCAGACACCTTCACCTCCACCCTCCATCTACAGAGCTGCTAAGAAGGATTAGTGGAAAGCTGTTAAAATAGGAAGTAAGTCATCACATTTTACACTCTGGACCTAAATGTACCTGGCATGGTGTCACAAAACCTGCAAAAGCTGTGTTAGCATATTGGTGCCAGAGGCTCCAAGTGTACCTGTCACCTAGGAATGGTTGCTGAACCAAAACTAAGCCTATCCATTCACTAGGAACAAGCAACAAAAACGCCACATTTTACTCTTCAGTTGGGAGTCTGCATTCTATAAGAGATAAAAAACCTGATTCTCAGATCTGACACCTTCCTGTATCAGAGCAGACGGAGCGCAATAAATAAATATATCCACAGATCTGCAGTATATTATAGATAACTGTCATTAAAAAAGGAAGAAATCTTACCTTCCCGTAGCGGGTGGCGAATGTTCCGGTGAGTAACGAGTGAAAGATAATTATTGTCTCGTCTAAATCCCACACAAATACACGCTGAGAGAGAGAGAGGGAGAGAGAGAGTCACAGAATGTTACAACACAACACTACTTCACATCACATCTTCTATTATTATTATTATTATTATTATTATTATTATTATTATTATTAATAAAGTGTGTGAATTTAATTATTATTATACAGGATTTATGGCGCCAACAGTTTACTCAGCACTTCACAATATAACGGGAGACAATACAGCAACAATACAGTTCAATACAAGAGGGATAGGAGGGCCCTGATCCTGGGAGCTTACAATCTAGGAGGGAGGGGCTAGTGGTACAAAAGATAATACTTTGGGGGATAGACTGGTAGGAGGAGTAGAAGATTCCATTATTAGCTGAAGGTGGATAGGCTTCCCTGAAGAGATAGGTTTTCAGAGATCGCCTAAAAGTGGGCAGAGTAGGCTGGATATTTTGTAGTTGGATATATTGGGTTACAGAGTTCCAGATGATGGGGGAGGCTCTGGAGAAGTCCTGGAGATGAGCATGGGAGGAGGAGGCAAGGGTGCTAGAGAGCAGGAGGTTGTGGGAGGAGCGGAGAGTACGGTTTGGGTGATATTTGGAGACAAGAGTGGTGATGTTATTGGGGGTTGAGTTATAAATGGCTTTATATGTTATTGGTAATGTTTTGAATTTTATCCGTTGGGCAATGGGAAGCCAGTGGAGGGATTGGCTTATATAATTGTCTACTTGTAGGCCATTGGTTGGGATGAGTATGGAGTAGTGGCCATTGGTTGGGAAGAGTACGGAGTAGCGGCCATTGGTTGGGATGAGTACAGAGTAGTGGCCATTGGTTGGGATGAGTACAGAGTAGTGGCCATTGGTTGGGATGAGTACGGAGTAGTAGCCATTGGTTGGGATGAGTACGGAGTAGTGGCCATTGGTAGGGATGAGTACGGAGTAGTGGCCATTGGTTGGGATGAGTACGGAGTAGTGGCCATTGGTTGGGATGAGTACGGAGTAGTGGCCATTGGTTGGGATGAGTACGGAGTAGTGGCCATTGGTTGGGATGAGTACGGAGTAGTGGCCATTGGTTGGGATGAGTACGGAGTAGTGGCCATTGGTTGGGATGAGTACGGAGTAGTGGCCATTTGTTTGGATGAGTACGGAGTAGTGGCCATTGCTCGGGATGAGTACGGAGTAGTGGCCATTTGTTTGGATGAGTACGGAGTAGTGGCCATTGGTCGGGATGAGTACGGAGTAGTGGCCATTGGTCGGGATGAGTACGGAGTAGTGGCCATTGGTCGGGATGAGTACGGAGTAGTGGCCATTGGTCGGGATGAGTACGGAGTAGTGGCCATTGGTCGGGATGAGTACGGGGTAGTGGCCATTGGTCGGGATGAGTACGGGGTAGTGGCCATTGGTCGAGATGAGTACGGGGTAGTGGCCATTGGTTGGGATGAGTACGGAGTAGTGGCCATTGGTTGGATGAGTAGGAGTACGGAGTAGTGGCCATTGGTAGGGATGAGTACGGAGTAGTGGCCATTGGTCGGGATGAGTACGGAGTAGTGGCCATTGGTCGGGATGAGTACGGAGTAGTGGCCATTGGTCGGGATGAGTACGGAGTAGTGGCCATTGGTTGGGATGAGTACGGATGAGTAGTGGCCATTGGTTGGGATGAGTACGGAGTACGGAGTAGTGGCCATTGGTAGGGATGAGTACGGAGTAGTGGCCATTGGTCGGGATGAGTACGGAGTAGTGGCCATTGGTCGGGATGAGTACGGAGTAGTGGCCATTGGTCGGGATGAGTACGGAGTAGTGGCCATTGGTTGGGATGAGTACGGAGTAGTGGCCATTGGTTGGGATGAGTACGGAGTAGTGGCCATTGGTTGGGATGAGTACGGAGTAGTGGCCATTGGTTGGGATGAGTACGGAGTAGTGGCCCATTGGTTGGATGAGTAGTGGCCATTGGTTGGGATGAGTACGGAGTAGTGGCCATTGGTTGGGATGAGTACGGAGTAGTGGCCATTGGTTGGGATGAGTACGGAGTAGTGGCCATTGGTTGGGATGAGTACGGAGTAGTGGCCATTGGTTTTATCAGTTAGTAGATCATTAGTGAGGTTTAGTCGGGCAGTTTCAGTGAAGTGTAGTGAGTGAAAGCCGGACTGTAAAGGGTGAAGAAGGTTGTTGTCGGTGAGAGGTGGGATCTCAGGTGATTGTAGACTAAGCGTTCTAGGAGTTTAGAGGTAAATGGCAGCAGGGAGATGGGTCTTACGTTCAGGTTGGTGGGGTCCAGGGAGGGCTTTTTAAGTATGGGAGTGGCAGTATAATAATAATAGTGTGTGTGACTGTGGGGGAGGGGGCATTAGAGTGTAAGCTCCTCTGGTACAGAGACTGATGGGACTGTGGGGGAGGAGGAGGGGACATTAGAGTGTAAGCTTCTCTGGTACAGAGACTGATGTGACTGTGGGGGAGGGGGCATTAGAGTGTAAGCTCCTCTGGTACAGAGACTGATGGGACTGTGGGGGAGGGGGCATTAGAGTGTAAGCTTCTCTGGTACAGAGACTGATGTGACTGTGGGGGAGGGGGGCATTAGAGTGTAAGCTTCTCTGGTACAGAGACTGATGTGACTGTGGGGGAGGGGACATTAGAGTGTAAGCTCCTCTGGTACAGAGACTGATGTGACTGTGGGGGAGGGGACATTAGAGTGTAAGCTCCTCTGGTACAGAGACTGATGTGACTGTGGGGGAGGGGACATTAGAGTGTAAGCTCCTCTGGTACAGAGACTGATGGGGACTGTGGGGGAGGGGACATTAGAGTGTAAGCTCCTCTGGTACAGAGACTGATGGGACTGTGGGGAGAGGGGACATTAGAGTGTAAGCTCCTCTCTGGTACAGAGACTGATGTGACTGTGGGGGGAGGAGGCATTAGAGTGTAAGCTCCTCTGATAAAGAGACTGATGGGACTGTGGGGGAGGGGACATTAGAGTGTAAGCTCCTCTGGTGCAGGGACTGATGGGACTGTGGGGGAGGGGACATTAGAGTGTAAGCTCCTCTGGTACAGAGACTGATGGGACTGTGGGGGAGGGGACATTAGAGTGTAAGCTCCTCTGGTGCAGAGACTGATGGGACTGTGGGGGGAGGGGACATTAGAGTGTAAGCTCCTCTGGTGCAGAGACTGATGTGACTGTGGGGGAGGGGACATTAGAGTGTAAGCTCCTCTGGTACAGAGACTGATGGGACTGTGGGGGAGGGGACATTAGAGTGTAAGGTCCTCTGGTACAGAGACTGATGTGACTGTGGGGGAGGGGACATTAGAGTGTAAGGTTCTCTGGTACAGAGACTGATGGGACTGTGGGGGGAGGGGACATTAGAGTGTAAGCTCCTCTGGTACAGAGATTGATGGGACTGGCTCAGTGTTCTCTGTACAGCGCTGTGGTATATGTCAGAGCTATAGAAATGTATAATAATAATAGTGTGTGCCTGTGAGGGATGGGGGGGTCATTGGAGTGTAAGCTCCTCTGGTGCAGGGACTGATGAGACTTGTGTGATGATCTCTGTACAGCGCTATGGCACATGTGAGCACTATGTAAGCATGTAGCAATACATATAATAATCAGTAGGACTTTCTGTAGGACATCATTTGTGAGCTGTGGACAGGCAGCTGGATGATTGGTGGAGATGACAGCCAGGTCGTGAGCCGTGTTTTCCATCCATGTGTATTCTATTAGGTGGACCGTATTTGCTGATTCAGCGGGATGGAGACATTGCTGGGATTGGACACGGGGGGGGGGGGGGGGGGGGCAGTATGAAATCATGGCCGACGTCTGAGACAGATTGTGGAGACTTCCAAGACAAAGAGGTTCAATCGATCACAGAGAGGTTATTCTGTTCGCTTAGCAGATCATCATCTCCACTCTTTTATTTTGGGATGAAATCGACGCTTTACGCCAATCACAGCCATCAATCCCCTCTGATGCGCATCTGCTGGAAAGTGATGAAGTCTGGCCTGGTGCCGATCCCCGTTATCTGGAGGTCACATCATCTATGGGTGTCAAAAATCACCGGAAAACTGAGGAGCGGAGAGGCCGGGATCAGCCGTGGTGTTAAACACTTCAAGTGTCTTACGGGCCGGGTCCTCTGATTCCTCTTCTATCAAATTGTATGGTAACTGGAATGTCCGCCTTCATTTTGTACAGCGCTGCGCACACTGTTGGCGCCATATAAATCCTGTATGATAATATGCAGGAGGATCTGTGATCAGTGATGATCCTGAGGTCAGATTTTGGCCCTTCTATCCTGGAAACCTCAACGTTTCCAGTTTTCCTTAACAACGGGGCCCCCCTCCCTCCTACCCGGGGCCCCAAAGCAGTGACGCGGGCTGCTGCAGAAGTAGTGACCCCGATGGGTTAAAGCGAATATTCTCTGTAAAGCCTTCAATGTTACTTTGTAAGTCTTACAGACGTCGGCGCAGGTAGTTGGAACAAGAAAATCGTTTTTTTTTTTCTTCAGTTCATCCTCACAAGCGCTGCCAAGCTGTCCGCGGGACATCATTCAGATCCGCCCGGCATGCTCCATCCATAATGTATGGAAAAATACAATCCCTTTGTTGTTCCGCCAAGTTTTGGTTTTTCGTAAGCGAGTTTGTAAAGTCCTGTCCTTCGGAGACGATCGCGGTCCATGTGGAAAATGCATCAGCTGGATGTGATGATGAACGGGCCCCGCCTTCGCTCCGTGTTGTCTCCGTGTTGTCTGCGAGGATCACGCCGCCTCTCGCCGTCGGTTTGGTAGATTGGCCGGGATGATGCGGGACCTTCTCCGGTCCAAAAGCACAAAAACAGGGAAGAAGAATTGGTCGCCTGAAGCGCCTTTCCAGTCTTTCAGTGTTTTTGAGTTTTCTGGCCAAATTTAGTTTTACCCGATTCACATCTGTGCGGGTGGTGCAGCTGCGGGACCTAATACCTGCAGCCGCACCACCCACACAGAGGAATGCGGGACCTAATACCTGCAGCCGCACCACCCACACAGAGGAATGCGGGACCTAATACCTGCAGCCGCACCACCCACACAGAGGAATGCGGGACCTAATACCTGCAGCCGCACCACCCACACAGAGGAATGCGGGACCCACACAGATACCTGCAGCCGCACCACCCATACAGAGGAATGCGGGACCCACACAGATACCTGCAGCCGCACCACCCACACAGAGGAATGAGGGACCCACACAGATACCTGCAGCCGCACCACCCACACAGAGGAATGAGGGACCCACACAGATACCTGCAGCCGCACCACCCACACAGAGGAATGCGGGACCCACACAGATACCTGTAGCTGCACCACCCACACAGAGGAATGCGGGACCCACACAGATACCTGTAGCTGCACCACCCACACAGAGGAATGAGGGACCCACACAGATACCTGGAGCCGCACCACCCACACAGAGGAATGCGGGACCCACACAGATACCTGGAGCCGCACCACCCACACAGAGGAATGCGGGGACCCACACAGATACCTGCAGCCGCACCACCCACACAGAGGAATGAGGGACCCCCACACAATACCTGCAGCTGCACCACCCACACAGAGGAATGCGGGACCCACACAGATACCTACAGCTGCACCACCCACACAGAGGAATGAGGGACCCCACACAAATACCTGCAGCCGCACCACCCATACAGAGGAATGAGGGACCCCCACAAATACCTACAGCTGCACCACCCACACAGAGGAATGCGGGACCCACACAGATACCTGTAGCTGCACCACCCACACAGAGGAATGAGGGACCCACACAGATACCTACAGCTGCACCACCCACACAGAGGAATGCGGGACCCACACAGATACCTGTAGCTGCACCACCCACACAGAGGAATGAGGGACCCACACAGATACCTACAGCTGCACCACCCACACAGAGGAATGAGGGACCCACACAGATACCTACAGCTGCACCACCCACACAGAGGAATGAGGGACCCCCACACAATACCTACAGCTGCACCACCCACACAGAGGAATGAGGGACCCCCACAAATACCTGCAGCTGCACCACCCACACAGAGGAATGCGGGACCCACACAGATACCTGTAGCTGCACCACCCACACAGAGGAATGAGGGACCCACACAGATACCTACAGCTGCACCACCCACACAGAGGAATGTGGGACCCCCACAAATACCTACAGCTGCACCACCCACACAGAGGAATGAGGGACCCCCACAAATACCTGCAGCTGCACCACCCATACAGAGGAATGAGGGACCCGCGCAAATACCTGCAGCCGCACCACCCACACAGAGGAATGCGGGACTCACACAGATACCTGCAGCTGCACCACCCATACAGAGGAATGCGGGACCCCCACAAATACCTGCAGCTGCACCACCTACACAGAGGAATGCGGGACCCACACAAATACCTGCAGCTGCACCACCCATACAGAGGAATGAGGGACCCCCACAAATACCTGCAGCTGCACCACCCATACAGAGGAATGAGGGACCCGCGCAAATACCTGCAGCCGCACCACCCACACAGAGGAATGGGGGACCCGCACAAATACCTGCAGCTGCACCACCGACACAGAGGAATGAGGGACCCACACACAGACCACCCATACCTGTAGCTGCACCACCCACACAGAGGAATGAGGGACCCACACAGATACCTACAGCCGCACCACCCACACAGAGGAATGAGGGACCCCCACAAATACCTGCAGCCGCACCACCCATACAGAGGAATGAGGGGTCCCCCACAAATACCTGCAGCCGCACCACCCACACAGAGGAATGCGGACCCACAGACGGATGCCATTAATTCTAATGGCACGCCGCCCGCACTGGAAATCGCAAACCGACCTGGGAACTGAGATGCGATTTCCAAACTAGTGCAGGGACTGTGTGTCACGGGGCATGGGAGTCCATTCAAATGAAGGAGCTCTCGTGTCCACGCAAATCGAGGCCCGCATGACCGCACGGAGGTGAGCCAGGGGTAAGGTCTTAGGCGCCATTCACAATAGGGCGCTTCTCAGCTCGACGCCTGATGCTCAGAAACACTCAACAAGCAAAATCCAATTCATTTCTATGTCCCCTGTTCACATATCAGCGTTTCGTCGCCTGTAGCAAAACGCCCGTCGCTCAAAACAGTACTTACGCTACTTTTCAGGCCGATCTAAGCATTTTGTCCCCATAGACTTGAATAGAAAACACCTGAATGGTGGGAATAAGTGTTTTTTTTTCCAGCGTTGTTTCAAGTGTTTTTTCAGGAGTTTTCAGCTCAAACAGCAGCTATTTCTATTGGCCACAGCACAAAACGCCTAAATGAAAAAAACCCTATAATATTATAAATCTGCAAAAAAAAATGCTCAGACACCTGGGAAAAAAAAACGCTTGAAAAAAAACACCTGAAAAATGCTCAGGTCAGTGTGAATGGAGCTTCAATCTTTCCCCATAATGCTTTTTAACCGGTCAGCACCCAACGCAAAAACTCACTTTACATGAACCACACAAAAAAAAAGAAAAAAAAAAGCTCTGGGTAGATAAAGCCGGCAGCATGCTGCAGCTTCAGTCGCCGTTCACACTGCTGCGCGTTTAAAATCGATTGATTTGTTTGCAATTTCTTAAGACTTTATTGCTACTTGTGAAGATTTTCAAGGATTTCTTGCAATTTCTATTGTATTCTCTGAATGTGAAATCACAACCAGGGGTGGACTGACAACTCATGGGGCCCCTGGGCAGTAGGGGATCATGGGGCCCCTGTGTCCTCACCCACACTCAAACCACACCCGAAAAAGCCTATGAAAGGTACCAGGGGCATCTCATGGGGCCCCCTACCGACCCTGGGCCCTCAGGTAATGCCCAAGTGCCCAAATTGGTGAGTCCGCCCCTGATCACAACAAAACTGCAGAAAAAGTCACGGAAGAATGATTTCAGAAATTGCGCTGCAGCAAATCGCACGTTAAGACACTGATATTCACATTCATCAGATGCGATTTCAGGTTCGCAACTAACATCGCATTGGTTGGACTGGGCGCTAAAACACTGCAAGACGGTGCTGACAAGCTCAGGAAACACATGCGTCTTTGTAGCCAGAGATACAATGTAACAAATCTAAAGGATGCTCGAGGGAATTGGCCAAAAAAAGTAACATTTATTTGCTAATTGTCTCTAATGTTCTCTAGAATTGTTACTTTGTATCTGTTGTTACCAAGACACATTACCCCAAGCTCCTCCGCTCCATTAGTGTCATAATGTGCTATTCCACCGCCCAAATAAGCTCCTCCCCATTAGTGTCATAATGAACATTCGTTCTATTCAGAACAGAACCGCCCATAAAGAAATACTGGAATACAGAACATTCGTTCAGAAGAAATACTAGAAATACTGGAATACAGAACATTCGTTCAGAAGAAATACTGGAATACAGAAGCAATACATTTCGTTCAGAAGAAATACTAGAATACAGAACAGAACATTCGTTCAGAAGAAATACTAGAATACAGAATACAGAACATTCGTTCAGAAGAAATACTAGAATACAGAACATTCAGAATACAGAACATTCGTTCAGAAGAAATACTAGAATACAGAACATTCGTTCAGAAGAAAAACTAGAATACAGAACATTCGTTCAGAAGAAATACTAGAATACAGAACATTCATTCAGAAGAAAAACTAGAATACAGAAATTCGTTCAGAAGAAATACTAGAATACAGAACATTCGTTCAGAAGAAATACTAGAATACAGAACATTCAGAACATTTCAGAAGAAATACTAGAATACAGAACATTCGTTCAGAAGAAAACTGAAATACAGAACATTCGTTCAGAAGAAATACAGAACATTCGTTCAGAAGAAATACTAGAATACAGAACATTCGTTCAGAAGAAATACTAGAATACAGAACATTCGTTCAGAATACAGAAATTCGTTCAGAAGAAATACTAGAATACAGAACATTCGTTCAGAAGAAATACTAGAATACAGAAATATTCGTTCAGAAGAAAAACTAATACAGAACATTCGTTCAGAAGAAATACTAGAATACAGAACATTCGTTCAGAAGAAATACTGGAATACAGAACATTCGTTCAGAAGAAATACAGAAGAACATTCGTTCAGAAGAAATACTGGAATACAGAACATTCGTTCAGAAGAAATACTTACAGAACATTCGTTCAGAAGAGAATACAGAACATTCGTTCAGAAGAAATACTAGAAGAAATACATACAGAACATTCGTTCAGAAGAAAACTAGAATACAGAACATTCATTCAGAAAAACTAGAATACAGAACATTCGTTCAGAAGAAATACTAGAAACAGAACATTCGTTCAGAAGAAATACTGGAATACAGAACATTCGAAATACAGAACATTCGTTCAGAAGAAATACTAGAATACAGAACATTCGTTCAGAAGAAATACTGGAATACAGAACATTCGTTCAGAAGAAATACTAGAATACAGAACATTCGTTCAGAAGAAATACTAGAATACAGAACATTCGTTCAGAAGAAATACTAGAATACAGAACATTCGTTCAGAAGAAATACTGAAATACAGAACATTCGTTCAGAAGAAATACTGGAATACAGAACATTCGTTCAGAAGAAATACTAGAATACAGAACATTCGTTCAGAAGAAAACTAGGAATATACAGAACATTCGTTCAGAAGAAATACTAGAATACAGAACATTCGTTCAGAAGAAATACTAGAATACAGAACATTCGTTCAGAAGAAATACTAGAATACAGAACATTCGTTCAGAAGAAATACTAGAATACAGAACATTCGTTCAGAAGAAATACTAGAATACAGAACATTCGTTCAGAAGAAATACTAGAATACAGAACATTTCGTTCAGAAAAAAGAAGAAATACTAGAATACAGAACATTCGTTCAGAAGAAAATACTAGAATACAGAACATTCGTTCAGAAGAAATACTGAATACAGAACATTCGTTCAGAAGAAATACTGGAATACAGAACATTCGTTCAGAAGAAATACTAGAATACAGAACATTACAGAAGAAATACTAGAATACAGAACATTCGTTCAGAAGAAATACTAGAATACAGAACATTCGTTCAGAAGAAATACTAGAATACAGAACATTCGTTCAGAAGAAATACTAGAATACAGAACATTCATTCAGAAGAAAAACTGAATACAGAACATTCGTTCAGAAGAAATACTAGAATACAGAACATTCATTCAGAAGAAAAACTGGAATACAGAACATTCGTTCAGAAGAAATACTAGAATACAGAACATTCGTTCAGAAGAAACTACATTCGTTCAGAAGAAATACTAGAATACAGAACATTCGTTCAGAAGAAATACTAGAAAATACAGAACATTCGTTCAGAAGAAATACTAGAACATTCGTTCAGAAGAAATACTAGAATACAGAAACATTCGTTCAGAAGAAATACTGGAATACAGAACATTCGTTCAGAAGAAATACTAGAATACAGAACATTCGTTCAGAAGAAATACTGGAATACAGAACATTTCGTTCAGAAAAATACTAGAATACAGAACATTCGTTCAGAAGAAATACTGGAATACAGAACATTCGTTCAGAAGAAATACTAGAATACAGAACATTCGTTCAGAAGAAATACTAGAATACAGAACATTCGTTCAGAAGAAATACTAGAATACAGAACATTCGTTCAGAAGAAATACTAGAATACAGAACATTCGTTCAGAAGAAATACTAGAATACAGAACATTCGTTCAGAAGAAATACTAGAATACAGAACATTCGTTCAGAAGAAATACTAGAATACAGAACATTCGTTCAGAAGAAATACTAGAATACAGAACATTCGTTCAGAAGAAATACTAGAATACAGAACATTCGTTCAGAAGAAATACTAGAATACAGAACATTCGTTCAGAAGAAATACTAGAATACAGAACATTCGTTCAGAAGCAATACTAGAATACAGAACATTCGTTCAGAAGAAATACTAGAATACAGAACATTCGTTCAGAAATACTAAGAATAAATACTAGAATACAGAACATTCGTTCAGAAGCAATACTAGAATACAGAACATTCGTTCAGAAGCAAATACTAGAATACAGAACATTCGTTCAGAAGCAATACTAGAATACAGAACATTCATTCAGAAGCAATACTAGAATACAGAACATTATTCAGAAGCAATACTAGAATACAGAACATTCATTCAGAATACAGAACATTCATTCAGAAATACTAATACATACTAGAATACAGAACATTCATTCAGAAGAAATACTAGAATACAGAACATTAGTTCGTTACTAGAATACAGAACATTCGTTCAGAAGAAATACTAGCCTACAGAACATTTGTTTTTCCTCAATTTGCACAGAATGGATGCACATGCAGACTCATTGGACCGATGGCTATGTATTTTTTTTTTTGGTAATAAATAGACCCCTAAGTGTCACAATGACCTGCGACCTCTGTCCTCTAGCTGGCCAACATTCCAAGGCCGTGTGACCAGATTGAGGCGCGTTCATTATTTATTCCCCATTTCAGACATTTCTCTGTGCAGTCTGTAATTCAGAACATCTGGCCAGCTTGGCACCGCCGCCTCTTACAAGCTTACAACTGTTTTCACTGGCAGAGATGCCCACTCCATAACACCGGCGCTGCGTTCCTACGGGCTGTGCGTACAGCGCTCTACACTCCGGAGTAGGGTGCCATACATCCTGACAAGGGTCCGGTCACACCTTCACACGTGAAATGATGGAGCCGTGCTATGCCCGGTGTGCTGCGAGCTTGTGTGCCCACTTCCCGGCTTCCCCCCATTACAGGACACCTCCAGGCATTCCCACAAAAAAGATGATTTGTCACACAGCAGCACACATTTCCAGCACCTACCTCAATCTCATTGTCCATTGATGGCGAGGGGTCATTATTCCGCTTAGATCTCCCTCGTAACTTCACATCGGAGCCCCTCTGCTGCCGCTCAGATTCTGAATCTTTGATTGGTGTGGAGGGACCGTTATGTGAAGGATATTCCCCTACAAAGAAAACAGATGGAAAATAGTTACAGAGCTGCGGTATATGTCAGAGCTATAGAATGTAAATGTATAATAGTGTGTGACTGTGGGGGGGGGCCATTGGAGTGTAAGCTCCTCTGGTACAGAGACTAATGTGACTGTGGGGGGGGGGGGGGGCATTAGAGTGTAAGCTCCTCTGGTACAGAGAATGATGTGACTGTGGGGGAGGGGACGTTAGAGTGTAAGCTCCTCTGGTACAGAGACTGATGTGACTGTGGGGGGAGGGGACATTAGAGTGTAAGCTCCTTTGGTACAGAGACTGATGGGACTGTGGGGAAGGGTACATTAGAGTGTAAGCTCCTCTTGTACAGAGACTGATGGGACTGTGGGGGAGGGGACATTAGAGTGTAAGCTCCTCTGGTACAGAGAGTGATGTGACTGTGGGGGAGGGGACATTAGAGTGTAAGCTCCTTTGGTACAGAGACTGATGGGACTGTGGGGGAGGGGACATTAGAGTGTAAGCTCCTTTGGTATAGAGACTGATGGGACTGTGGGGGAGGGGAGATTAGAGTGTAAGCTCCTTTGGTACAGAGACTGATGGGACTGTGGGGGAGGGACATTAGAGTGTAAGCTCCTCTGGTACAGAGACTGATGGGACTGTGGGGGAGGGGACATTAGAGTGTAAGCTCCTCTGGTACAGAGACTGATGTGACTGTGGGGGAGGGGACATTAGAGTGTAAGCTCCTTTGGTACAGTGACTGATGTGACTGTGGGGGAGGGGACATTAGAGTGTAAGCTCCTCTGGTACAGAGACTGATGTGACTGTGGGGGAGGGGACATTAGAGTGTAAGCTCCTCTGGTACAGAGACTGATGTGACTGGCTCAGTGATCTCTGTACAGCGCTGCGGTATAGGTCAGAGCTATATAAATGTATAATAATAATAATGAGTGACTGTGCTGAGACGTTAGAGTGTAAGCTCTTCTGGTCCCCAGAGGGTAACAGACGAAGGCACTCACCTGACAAAGACTCTGAGCTCTGATTGGAGATGTGGTGGGAAGCCTCTTGCAGGGCGTAGGTGGTGGAGGATATGGAGGTGGGACTGATGCTGTTGGTGGGGATGTAGGGGGAGTTGTACGTCGTGCTGTAATACTGGGGGTACTGGCCTTGGCTAAAACCCGGGTATGAGGAATATTCCTGGGATAAGAAAGAAGACACCTCAATATAAATCCACTTCTTATAAGACAGAACACACACATCTCTGGTGGCACCAAATCACACGTCAATTACACCGATAGTAGAAGTGTCGGGGGAGGGGGGGGGGGTGCTGATTATCTGGAACATTTCTGATTCTCACAATCAGCTGCCTCTTTATTTTCAGTCCTGTTTTGTTCATCATTTACAAACTCACTTCAGGCCACTAAAGATTGCTATCTGGGTGGAGATTTTCCCTCGTTTCCTCTCCAGGTGACAACGCTGTTACTGCCTATGAAGCCTCAGACAGCAAAAAAAAAAAAATATTTACAGGAAGCTAAGAAAAAGAAAATTCGGGTCCTGCTACCTGTATATCAGAAAATGTAAAATGTATCTCTGGTCAGCAAGGAAGCTCTATTGAAAACAAGAAAAAACTGTCTGGAGCTACGTTTCACACGCAGGTAGTGTAAGGACCTGAATCAGTATATTTATTAGCTTCCTTTAATTCCACGGATGGCACGGCATACATAACACTGGGAGCTTGCTGACAGGAGCAGAGAGGGAAGAGGAATGATCTCATTATAACGATCTATCAGTGTGTTGGGGGATGGGTAGGTGAGCAAACGGTACTGTCTGCTGTGTGAAACAGGAAGATCATGGCTGTGCCGTCTGGAAGGAGTTCCTGGAACACAAGACTGGCCAAACAGATCTAACAAAGTCATCAGCTGTATGTATTTCATCTTTGTATTCAGCCCCACCAATAACACTTGTCTATATAACACCATACACTGGAATATTCTGAATGTACAAATAGTTCGATGAAGATAAACTCTGATACCTGGTGAACGCCGCTGAAGGCCCCGCTATTGGTCAGGCTGTTGGCTCCTTGATAGATTCCGAGGGGACCTGCAGGACAAAAAAAAACACAAAAATGTAACAAGAGAGAAATAATATTCCAAAACACGTTACATCCAATATAGGGAGAGAATCAGCAATATTGTACATGTACTGGTGTATCTGCAGTTCCTGGGTCCTGAGGAGGAACTACAGGCAGTGCAGCTCCCCCCACCCGTGAGGTTAGTGGGCCTATCCTAGGTGCCCCCCTCCCGTCCCCCCCATGGGTCCTGAGGAGGAACTACAGGCAGTGCAGCTCTCCCCGCACATGAGGTTAGTGGGTCCATCCTAGGTGCCCCCTCCCGTCCCCCATGGGTCCTGATGAGGAACTACAGGCAGTGCAGCTCCCCCAAACGTGAGGTTAGTGGGGCCCATCCTAGGTGCCCTCTCCCGTCCCCCATGGGTCCAGATGAGGAACTACAGGCAGTGCAGCTCCCCCCCCCCTGCACGTGAGGTTAGTGGGTCCATCCTAGGTACCCCCCTCCCGTCCCCCATGGGTCCTGAGGAGGAACTACAGGCAGTGCAGCTCCCCCCACCCGTGAGGTTAGTGGGCCCATCCCCAGGTGCCCCCCTCCCGTCCGCCATGGTCCTGAGGAGGAACTACATGCAGTGCAGCAGTGCAGCTCCCCCAAGTGAGGTTAGTGAGACTATCCTAGGTGCCCCCCTCCTGTCCGCCATGGGTCCTGAGGAGGAACTACAGGCAGTGCAGCTCCCCTCACACATGAGGTTAGTGGGCCCATCCTAGGTGCCCATTGCTGTCCCCCATGGGTCCTGAGGAGGAACTACAGCTCCCCCCGCATGTGAGGTTAGTGGGCCCATCCTATGTGCCCCCTCCCGTCCCCCATGGGTCCTGAGGAGGAACTACAGGCAGTGCAGCTTCCCCCGCCTGTGAGGTTAGTGGGCCCATCCTAGGTGCCCCCCTCTCGTCCCCCACCACAGCAATTGTCTCCTGTAATCCGCTGGTTAAATCTCTCACATCACGTGACGGCTGTGACCGGGACAAAAAGCATCATTCCGAATTTTGGTTTTGCAATTTTTTTTACAATTTAATAAAAATAACAAAAAGTTCCCTGCTGGTCTGTCTGCCTTTTTTGTAAAGCGCTGCGCAAACTGTTGGCGCTATATAAATCCTGTATAATAATAATCCTGAACTTACCGGTCATATTTTCCAAACGGTACCAAAAAAAAAAAAATATCTAAAACTTCCAAAACTGATCAAAGATTATAAAAAGCCAAATGGATGAGAACAGGTAGACAAGGTAAAACAACAAAAAAAAAAATACAAAACGCAAAAAAAAAAATACAGAAAGAATATAACATGCAAAAAAATAACATAAAAGACAAAAAAAAAAAGACAGTAGACAAAACACAAGAGCAAAATTCAACAAACAGGCAGAGAAAACCACCCTGGGAGTCCTTCTGGTGTCCACAGGAAGACCTGTGTGATATCTGAAGGTCGTAGTAGCACAGGCGCCCCGTCTCTGCGCTCCACCGCAGAGTGCATGCGACCTTCCCGCTGCCTACAAAGATTGCATTTATTGACTGAAGGACGCCTCAGTCTCTGACTCTCCTCTGTTCTGAGGTTGCCGGCTCTGCGGGGGTCCCTCTGCCGCCACTTCAAAGCCCCAGGCTGGAGGTGAGCTCTGTGTGACCGCATTTTTTTTTAGGTTCTGATGGACGGAACCCCGTGGTGGCACAAAGCGAAGCCGAGACTGAAGAGTGCGGAGAGGAGCCTGAAGCATTTGTTAGAACTGATTTAAAGGGGGAAAAACTCGACTCTACCAGTACCGACATGCTATCTATCTATTATCTATCTATCTATTATCTATCTATCTATCTATCTATCTCTATCTATCTATCTATTATCTATCTATTATATCTATCTATCTATCCCTCTATCTATCTATATCTATCTATCTATCCAGTGGTATCTATTCTATCTGATCCTTGGTGATTGCACGGACCGTCACTCGTAAGTGACTTTTTCCATGAATTCTCTTAGCAATTATTTTACAGGGTAGGTTGCCAGGTCTTTCTCCAACCCCCACCATGCAGGAGATCCCACATGGACAGGGATGAAACTAGGACAAGAGCCAATTAACCTTCCAGCATGTCTTTAGAGTGTGGGAGGAGACCAGGGCACCCAGAGGAAACCCACGCAATCACAGGGAGAACATGCAAACTCCATGCAGCGGACACCATGGTCAGGAATCGAACCCATGACCCATTTACTGCAGGGCAGATGTGCTAACCGCTAAGCCACTGTGCCGCCCACCGACATGCTACATTTAGCATTTTCGTAGTATGGACAACAAACAAGGCAAATCGTTTTACAGGTCTCAGCAAAAACACTTAAAAACCTAAAAACTACTCCAACTATTTTTTTTTTTTTCATATGTAGGTCCACTGGAAGCTTTGACAACATAAATAGGTGTCCCAATTGGAGGATTTCCTCCCACCTCCTGCTCTGGTGACAACTATCATTTTGTATTTGGCATCACTCTCCCACTAACCAGGACCAACCGAGAAGGTGGATCTAACAGGTAGCAATACCAATTTTAGTATGTATGAATAGTGCCATGCAGATTTATGCGGGCCATACACGGGTCAAATTTCGATTCTTTCGAAAATCGGAAATTTTGTGCATTTTGTAATCCAGGTGTGCCACCATTGATTTCGAAATTCGACCAACCAAGCCTTTCATTTCACTTCATGTTGCTACAGAAAAGGTTTCGTGGTGAAGAATTTTCTTTTCTTTCCAGGTCACAGCTCATTTATTTTTCAATTACATTTTAGTATATAAGAGAAACAATTGACAGAAGATTGTTACGTTGTATCTAATGCAGGCCATACATGGAACTAATTCAGAATTCATTTTCATTAGAAAATCAAAACTTTGTGCGATTTGTAATGCGATGGCGCCACCATTGATTTCGAAATTCGACCACCGAGCCTTTCATTTCACCTCATGTTGCTTCAGAAACAAATTTTCATAGTCAAGAATTTTCTTTTTTTTTTTCCAGGTCACAGCTCACGCTAATTTCTTTTTCAGTTACATTTCTCGCACGACTCTCCCATCACTGATTAGAAATTCGTTCAGTTTTTCGAATAATTTCCAACATGCTCAATTACTCAAAGTTGTTTTCTCTTATATACTGAAACGTGTATTGCCTGCATTAGATACAATGTAACAATCTTCTGTCAATTGTTTCTCTTATATACTGACCCGTGTATGGCCTGCATTAGATACAATGTAACAATCTTCTGTCAATTGTTTCTCTTATATACTGACCCATGTATGGCCTGCATTAGATACAATGTAACAATCTTCTGTCAATTGTTTCTCTTATATACTGACCCGTGTATGGCCTGCATTAGATACAATGTAACAATCTTCTGTCAATTGTTTCTCTTATATACTGACCCATGTATGGCCTGCATTAGATACAATGTAAACAATCTTCTGTCAATTGTTTCTCTTATATACTGACCCGTGTATGGCCTGCATTAGATACAATGTAACAATCTTCTGTCAATTGTTTCTGTTATATACTGACCCGTGTATGGCCTGCATTAGATACAATGTAACAATCTTCTGTCAATTGTTTCTCTTATATACTGACCCATGTATGGCCTGCATTAGATACAATGTAACAATCTTCTGTCAATTGTTTCTCTTATATACTGACCCATGTATGGCCTGCATTAGATACAATGTAACAATCTTCTGTCAATTGTTTCTCTTATATACTGACCCATGTATGGCCTGCATTAGATACAATGTAACAATCTTCTGTCAATTGTTTCTCTTATATACTGACCCATGTATGGCCTGCATTAGATACAATGTAACAATCTTCTGTCAATTGTTTCTCTTATATACTGACCCATGTATGGCCTGCATTAGATACAATGTAACAATCTTCTGTCAATTGTTTCTCTTATATACTGACCCGTGTATGGCCTGCATTAGATACAATGTAACAATCTTCTGTCAATTGTTTCTGTTATATACTGACCCGTGTATGGCCTGCATTAGATACAATGTAACAATCTTCTGTCAATTGTTTCTGTTATATACTGACCCGTGTATGGCCTGCATTAGATACAATGTAACAATCTTCTGTCAATTGTTTCTCTTATATACTGACCCATGTATGGCCTGCATTAGATACAATGTAACAATCTTCTGTCAATTGTTTCTCTTATATACTGACCCATGTATGGCCTGCATTAGATACAATGTAACAATCTTCTGTCAATTGTTTCTCTTATATACTGACCCATGTATGGCCTGCATTAGATACAATGTAACAATCTTCTGTCAATTGTTTCTCTTATATACTGACCCATGTATGGCCTGCATTAGATACAATGTAACAATCTTCTGTCAATTGTTTCTCTTATATACTGAAACGATCCGGCAAATAAGGAAAAAATATCTGAAACCAGCAAATGTATCTTCATCTTCTTCTATTTTACTGAAGTCATCCTAAAAATGTACAATGGCAGCGCAATCGCAGGATTTGTTTTGCGCCCGTGTTATGAACAAATAGCGATTAGTGGAGTCGCTGGTCTTTCGGACAGGGCCTCTCCCCCCCCCCCCATGTCCTTTCCCCGAAGACCCTGTTTGTTTTGATATCAGCAGCTGGATTAGTTGGGGAATGAAACAGAACACAGCTGTGCCAAGGAGTTGTTGAAGAACAAAGTAACCCGGCTGTGCCAGAGGAGTTGTTGAAGAACTCTCAGTAAGTGACGCCCCACAGGGCTGTGCCGCCACGGCTGATCGGCGGCTGCATGTAGGCGGCAGAGCGTGGAAAATGGGGCATTTGATAGGCTGGGGCGTTGCGCTCTTTGCGGCGGCACCCGAGGGGCCCCCAAGCGCAGGACAATAAAAATGAATGCCCTATTGTACGTCCGGCTGGTGATAATTTGTCTCTCTACGGCTAAATATTAGTTTTACGATATTGGCAGGAGCTGCAGCGCTCGCAGCAATCAGGAGTGTTTGTTCT